GTGTGAGTTTCTGTGGTAGCCACACATTTACCAAGTCATTATTCCTTCTATGGGGCTCCAGGCTGTTAGGTAACATCTGGCCAATCATTCTATTATTTCCTTATCTGTATCCCACTGTTCTCCTCTTCGGAGGCAGCTCCTGCTTCCTCTCCTACTGCCAAATCCCCTTCCTCTGAGCCCATCCACCCTCTGTCTGTTGGCTCTCTAGATGTGTGCTGTCATTGCTGCCTCCGAGGAAGGAGGCCAGCACTGTGAGTACATTTACTGTATATTCCTTGTTTTCCTCCAAGAAAATAAAAGATGAAGCCTAATCCCTTTTAGATTGTAATGGCTAACTAATCGATTTTGAAAATAAACGTTAGCTGCAGCTCTAATGTCCTGTAATAATAATAATAATTAAAATAGATCTAAATGGGCAACTCCTTAAGGTTTTCTTTAGCTCTCTCTATGTCAGCAAGCTAAAATCTGATTAATACGTTACCCCATTGTGTATGTAATGTTGGCTGAAGAAAAGTAATAATTGTGTGTATGGTTGTGAAACAATCCAACTAGAGGAAATCTCGGATTATGCCTGACCTGACCTCCAGAGTTGCTTGCCCTCAAACATAAGTGTGAGCACAGAAATATCACGGCTGAAATTTCAGCGACTCTGTATTCACAAAAGGAAAGAAAATATTATTCACATTGTGGCAGTATTTGCCTAGAAATACATAAATTATTGAATATTTTGTTATCCATTATGTTTCTGTAATATTATTAGTCTTGTCATTTTTCCAGTCCAGTAGAGAGGTAATAAGGGCAGTTCAGGCAGGTCTCTTTGTCTGCACTCTGTTGGGACATTGTGCATTTGTTTTGCTGGGCAGTTCAATTTTTCATAGTTCACACACAGATAGATAATGCAAGAATACATAATTCAAGTTTACATCAAAATTCCCATACATATTTAACAAATAACGTTTTAAAACAATAGGAGTACCATTCTACGGAACTTATATGCCATACATTTTCTAATATACTACTCTTCCATGTGCATTTGTTAAAGCCTGTTGCAATTATGCAGTGCTGACCTATTATGGAGTAACTCCCAGGGGACATAGAGGCATTCCCAATAGTTCCTGACCATGAGTGAGTTTATAGTCTAATGCTATGTCACAGTCTACTATTATATTTATCAAAGAAAACCAAGGGTGTACGTATTGCTGTAACTGTAGCACTACACAGTGACACAATGATTTATGGCATTTGGAAAAAGAAGAAATGTTCACATAGGTAGGGCAACATACAAAAAAATACAAAATAATCTATTTACTTTTCAACTAAACTTTTTTGTTGTGCCTAATTTAAAACTGCAAAAACTAAGACCAGACTTCCCTCGGGGCAGCCCCCTCCACCTTAAAGGTACAGCGAAACACCAGGAGCCAAGACATATTTTTTGGTGGTGGGGCCTCTATGAGACTGGTATAAAAGCAAATAGTATTTTGTATCACTGGAGGAAATGTCTAAGAGATGGATATTAGCGAGACAAGGGGCCCCTTACTGGTTTTGCTATGTTCCCCTACCACACGTTGTTACACCTCTGGCGACCACCCACACATACATAAGGACAACAAGAAAAACCCATTGTGTTTAGCCACTATTTGCAGGCCGTCTTCGATATTAATTGGAACCTCTGCAAGATTTTGTTGATTGGCCCCTACAACCCTTCCCCACTGCTTCCCAACCCAAACCCCCGTATCCAACTACATCACCTACCCCTGAAAAAAAACCTAAAATCAATATATATATATAGCTAGGGATGCACCGATAAATCGGCCGAAAATGGCACTTTTGGCAAAATGCCGAGTGCCATTCTCCTCCCAGCTAGGAAGTGATCTACATCACCTCCTGTTCATTCATGATTGTGGATATAGTAAATACACTATGTCCTCATGTTATGAATAAACAGGAACACTCATAGAGGATTCTTGTTCATTGATAACAGGGGACACAGAAATAGAGATTGAGGACTCTGTGTTCTCGATCTCTTTTTCTTTTTTAAAAGGGAAATATCAGTGGTCTGTTTAGACCCCTAATATTTCCCCAAAGCCCCTCAAAGTAAAGTAAAAAATACAAATATTTAACAAAAAAGAATAAATTAAAAATAAAATATTACAAAATTAAAAAGTTTATAAAGAATGGAGCTGGCATTGTTTTTTTTTCCAGTGCCCATTTCTACAGGCATCCACTTTATTAGCAAAATCACTAATTCTGGCCCTCTGCACAGCAGCCCTCAGGGAGCAGAAGCATGTCATCTCCTACATTTTCAGCATGAAGATCTCTGGACTGGTGGCACAGAGGTCAGTGTAATAAATGTAAATATACTCACCTCCCTCCAGTGCAGAGACTTTACAACCTGGAATCCTCTTTATGACTTTCAGCCGTTGGAATGCAAGCACCGGCACACTTCTCGTACGGGCCACGGAGATCACAAACAATGCAGAGGCAAGCAGTGTAAGACTGCTCTTTGAGGGAGTTCTGAGCATAAGGCAAAGTTCCGTCATTGCTTCCCTTTCCCCTGCGCGCTGCAGTGTGACAGACTTCACAGCTGAATTGTGTTTCCTGCACGGCCGGCTGGCGCCTCCCCCACCAACTATGCGCCCGGGGCAGACACACCGTTGGTCCCCCCGGTTGTTACGCCACTGGCTGACAGCCAGTTCACAGTAGAGAAGAGCACCATGGAACAGGTTAGACTGGGGAGTCAGACCTGTTGAATAGAAACCATGCTGGAGCACAGTGGAAGAGGGACGTCCCGAAAACTGGAACAGAATCAAGCAGATACAGAGAAGACCCGGGAGTAGGATCAAGACTCTCTAAAGTATGAGTATGGTCTTTCATGAGAGCAAGGAACTTGTGATCCCCAGGGCGTGAAGTCTCACAGCCAGGGACCCCCTCGCAGGGGTTTGGGCTCACCTGTGTGCTGAACCCAGGTTACAGCCCCCAGGTGAGAGGACCCCAGGAATAGTCCAGAGAACAGAGCTGGGTGAGGCCACACATGGTCAGGATAAAAGCCCGAGATCAGGGCAGGCAGTGGTCAATGGTAACCAGGATAAAAGCCCGAGTTCAGGGCAGGCAGCAGACAGTGATAACTAGGATACAAGCCAGAGGTCAAGGCAGGCAGTGAACATGGATAACTAGGAACATTCAAGAGGTCAGGGCAGGCAGTGGACATGGATAAACAGGAACTAGCCAAAATTCGTTACGCAGGAATCATAGGAAAGGTTCCATTTGTATAGCAGGGAGGCCTACCAGGGGCTCGGCAGCTAGCTTGCAAAAGTAATGCTCGGGATCCAGGAGCTGCAACAAGTTTAACTAGGCTAGGCAGAGGAGGAAGGCGTTCTGATAGGCTGCAGGTTGACACTTCTGATTGGCTGTGGCATGACAGAGTTGGGAGACTGCTGGTGCCCCTTTTGCAGAACTTACTGCAATTACTTTTGCACGATATTCTAATTATTCGAGTTTCACCTGTATATAAGAAATAGTAACACAAACTTTTGTCTGACTTAGACCCAGAGTTCTAAATATTTTTGAACATTTGGTGGAAAATTATAGGAAGTCTAGGTTACTTTGTAGAAGACATTTAAAGTGTTAACAAACATTTTCCATCGGGTTACAGATGGCAGTTTGTAGTTTTTTTTTGTTTGTTTTTTTAAAGCTCCCTCTACTCATATAGGAAGCTTCATCAATTTCCTAATTTTTGCTGTTAAACTTAGAAATAGTAAAACAGGATGAGAAATATTTGGCCGTTTGTCACAAACCTGTCTTGCAGGCTCTCTCCCACCGCAGATCATGTTATATTCTGACCTGAAGGGGCTCATGGGCCTAATGTTTAGGCAGAGCTAGACAATGAGCAACTCTGAATTAATCTTTCTCCTCTGGAGAAGACAATCTAACCAGTGTAATCTACCACTAGGTGGAGCTTGAAGCACAGTTGCTTCTGCAGCATTATAGAAATAGTTGAGGCATTTTAGATGAGTATAGGTTTGCTTTAATGCAATAGCTTATTAGGTACCGAGCAGAAGAAAGCAAAATTCTAATATATTTACTGGAAATAAGAATTTCAACTTTCTCTGCAAGCCCCTTTGAGTTCAGGTAGATTGAGTACAGTATCCCTGACCATGAATCCTGGGCTAAATGACAGTGTCGTACAATATGCTGTGAGGACCCCAGGAATAGGCCTGAGGTTAGAGCTGGCAGTGGACAGTGATAACTAGGATACAAGCCAGAGGTCAGGGCGGGCAGCAGACATGGATAATCAGGAACACTCAAGAGGTCAGGGTAGGCAAGGGACTTGAATAAACAGGAACTAGCTAAAAGTCATGCATGGCAATCAAGGGAAAGGTGCAGACTGTATAGCAGAGAGGCCTACCAGGAGCAGGACAGCTAGCCTGAAAAAGTGTTGCGTGGCTAAATTACTGTGTGATACAATATGTTGTGAGGGTACCCTAAGTTGAACACATTTTTGATAAAGCTATCATAAACATTATAGACCAAATGACTTTAGCCTAAAATCAGTTTAATGCATTTATTATACAAAAGGTAGAATGGGATTCTTAAACATCAAGTGGAAGCCAACTACTGAAACATCTTTTTATACCTTAACATGCACATATATGCACTTTTGTATTTTACCAGAGTGCGTGGTCAGTGAATTTCATCATCAGCTTTATATGTGCACTAATGGTGAAGAAAAAATGAAAGAAGTTTAAAAGTTTCCACCTTTGTCTGTTAGGGATGCAGGGAGGAAATCACCCTATTGACAGTCTTGTTGGGTGTAAGGACTCATGATCTGCATAGTTCTCTGCAAAATGAAAAAATCTGTATCCCCTTTTTCAAGTGAACTGAACATTTGTAGTTTGTCAGACTGACTGATCCATAATTCAGTTCTGTCATCACTATTGTATTCTGATGTGTCGTTTTGTGGGTTTAATGCCTATCATGTGTATTGTGTGTATTTTTTGCAGTGCTTTGCTGTGCGCTCTTTGGGCTGGGTAGAAATGGCAGAAGAGGACCTAGCTCCAGGGAAAAGCAGTGTTGCAGTGAACAATTGTATCAGACAACTGTCCTACAGCAAGAACGACATCAGAGACACAGTCGGCATTTGGGGCGAGGTAAGTACATATTATTTTCATATTTTTTTCAGAATCAGTGATTTAAAATAAGAATATTAATCGCAAACAACAGACTTTATCATGTTGCATTGTTGTTGAGAACTGATTATTTTTCTTTATTTTTATAGGAATTCTAACTTTTTTATTTTAGGTTCTTCTGTGTGCTTAAGTAACGGTGTACCATTTGTAGTAACTAATAGCAACTAATTAGAAAACTTCTTTTACTAATCTTAAATCTGGCTGGTTACTTACTATACAGTATTACTCCCCTTTGAACATCATAAATACTCTTATTTAAACTTAGTGCCATATGCGTCTAAGGGGATCATTTATAAACAATTCACACAGCCATCAGCCCTGTGAATGTCCGTTCTGTGTTAATGGAGGCACAAAACAAACATTCTTGTTACAACCCCAATTCCAAAAAAGTTGGGGCGCAGTGCAAAATCTTATAAACAGAGTGCAATGAATTGTAAATCTCATAAACCCATATTGTATTCAAAATAGAAAACTTAACAAATGCTTAAACTGAGAAAATGTACCATTGGAAAACAAATTAGGTACATTTGAAATTGATGGCAGCAATACGTCTCAAAAAAGTTGGGACAGGGCCATGTTTACCACAGTGTAACATTCCCTTTTCTATTAACAACACTCTGTAGACGTCTGGGAACTGAGGAGACCATTTGCTGGAGTTTTGGGAGAGGAATGTTGGCCCATTCTTGCCTGATATAGGATTCTAACTGCTCAAAAGTCCTGGGTCCTCTTTGTCATATTTTTCATTTCAAGATGTGCCAAATATTTTCATTTGGTGGAAGGTCTGGACTGCAGGCCAGTTAAGCACCCGGACTCTTCTACTATGAAGCCATTCTGTTGTCATAGATGCAGTATGTGGTATAGCATTGGCCTGCTGAAATATGCAAGGCCTTCCCTGAAAAAGACATTGTCTGGATGGGAGCATATGCTGCTCTAAAACCTGGAAAAGCTTTTGAACTGAGCGCTGATAACAAACCGGAAGGTCCATTTCCTCTTTAGTCTGGAGTCAGTGGTGTATTTAGGTTTGGGGCTGCCCTAGGCAAGACAAAACTCGGGCGCCCCCCCACACACACACTAAATGTACCTCACCCGGCTGTGGTCTGTGGTGGGCTCTGCGGGGTCTGTGGTGGGCTCTACAGGATCTGTGGTGGGCTCTGCGGGGTCTCAGGTGAGCTGTGAAGGATCTTTCTGTGGTGGGCTTTGCAGGCTGCAGAGACCCCTATGGATCCTGCAAAGCCCCCCTGAGAACAGACAAAGCCCCCCACAGACCCTGCAGAGACCCCCTGACACCCTGCAGGATCTCAGGGGGGTTGTGCAGGAACCCCGGTGGGCTTTGCAGACTGCAAAGCCCAATGGTGATTTTTAGATGCAGCTTTTCACAGATTGGTGAACCTCTGCCCATCTTCTGAGACACTGTGACTCTCTAAGATGCTCTTTTTATACCAATAATGTTACTGATCTGTTACCAATTAACCCAATTAGTTGCAAAATGTTTTTCCAGCTCTTGCTTGTTAGTACCGCTTACTTTGCCAGCTTTTTGTTGCCCTGTCCCAACTTTTTTTTGAGACATGTTGCTGCCATCAATTTCAAAATAACCTTATTTTTTTTCTTAAAATGGTCCATTTTCTCAGTTTTAACATTTGGTATGTTTTCTATTGTGAATAAAATATGGGTTTGTGAGATTTGCAAATCATTGCTTTCTGTTTTTTGCAATTGTGTATTTTCAAATGTCATCAACAATGACAGATGACATTCAACAATACATTTGGCTCATAAAGAAAATATAACAAGAACGTTTGTTGTTGTGCACACAGAACGAACATTCACACATATACGTAGGGCCCACAGCTCTGGTTAATTGCTTATAAATAAACCCCAAAGTGTCCAAGAGTTTGGTTAGAGTACCTGGTTGAGATCATGTTTTAAAACAGTATTTATAAACTGTAGTCGTCAGATAGCCCAAACTTCTTGTGTTTTCAGGATTTCTTCATCTTCCACAGCAGAATGTCGGGTGTCAGTATCAGTAACCTGGTGCAGCTATTCTTTCAGTGAAACAGTGATTTCACTGTTTTTAATAAGTGTGATGCATTGACAACGTTTTAATATAAGGTTCTTGTCACAGTGTCTGCTGTGTTCATACTCTCCTAAATGTATAAATTATATTTTTCTAATCAATAAAATAAGCCATCTGGCTGATTAATTATCTAATTTTGGTTGGAGTATAACTTCCACCTCATTGCTTCTCATAGATGTGGTATTTCTACATATATGCTTATAGGTTATCAACCATATCGGTTGATGTGTAATTTTATCTTATATATCTTCTTCTGGGTTCAAAGTTTTTGGCCGCTTGATTTGCCAGGCCCTGATGATGTAACTTCTGTGCATGTGCATAGGAGTTACTTTGTCTCGGCAAGGATTTCTGCCAAGGCTGCAATGCATTCAGTGCACATAAAACTAAAAAAGTGCTGGCAGGCAGATAGGAGGATCTATGACAGAAGAGACTTACATTAAAGTGACATTAAAGGCAAATGTAAGGACTTACCTTAAATGATGCCTCCTTATCCGATCATCTTCTTTCCTGTAGTTTTCAGGAGTTCCTCCAGCGCTGGTGCCGGTCTCTAAACCAGCACTGACTCCTCTCTCTTCCCGGCACTTCCTGTCCTACGGTGTCTGTGCGCGTGCACGCTGCCTCCATTGACTTACCTTGTGTCTCTCCTCGTCTCCCGATCGAAGATCTGAACTGCGCATGCGCCTGCCCCATGATCCTTTACGGCCTCCTGAGAATCTTCAGATCTTCGGATGGGAGCCCGCGGCAGAGACACAGGTAAGTTTAAACCTATTTGTTAACTTTTTTAAATGTTTTTGCATATATCTAATGCTTGCTAGCAGTAGATATATGCAACAAAATGCAAGGCTTTAAGCCTGCTTGTCAGCACTTTTTATACATACAACTTTACTTCCAAAATCTGTGCCCTGCAGTGATGTGGAGGTTGGAGGGAGGGGCCACTGTGTCCAGCGGGGGACTTCAGAAGATCAACTCTTCCAGAAGTATTGGTTGCTCAGTGGTTTCCAGGGGAATATTTCACTTGAACCAAGCTGCGTTCAGTGGCATGGTTAGCAGCAGAGTATGATCTCTTCTTTGGCAGGTAGATCTTTTTGAGCATTTTTTTGTCCTGGCAAATTTATTTTAAGTGTTAAAGTTAAAGGCTAAGTATTGGGGGCGAGGGGCGAACAAGGGAAGGCATTATTTTATAGGAATAGTAGGTGGTTTGTTATCTTTAACATAGTGGAGGTAAAGGTTTTTAATTTGAAAACTACTCGGTACTCCCAGCGTTCAGAACAAAGGTATCATGAAAATTCCATTCAGGTGTGAAAACTCAGCCCCACAGCTTATTTAGAAACAATAGCATGTTGTCTTCAGTCACTGTGCCATTATATTTTAATGTAAATATTCAATGTTATCTCTAATGTATTGCCGTGTTGTAGATGCTGTTGATATGTACTAACCTCCACTGCAATGTTGCATGAAATATTTATTACCTGCTGCAGGCTGGCATCTCTATGCATCTCTCTCCTGAGAGTTCACTTCAAAGAGACGCAGCCAACGTGCAGACTAACCACACATCTAGGTCACTCAGGAAGAAAGTTACTACAGTGCTGCTGGGAATTTTACATGGTTACTTTTTTGGAGGAAAAAAATTTATTGAAAACTATTGTCTATCAAACAAATCTCAGTTTTGCTTTGTTTTAGTTAATAATTCCAAACGTTTTTTGTAGTTGAAATGTCACTGAATCTGTGCTTTGCCTATGTTGGGTAAAACATCAGGTTCACTTTAATGCAGACCTGCATTGACACACGTACTTGCTTTCCTTTTGCTCTCCCACTGGTCTGTTCAGCCACCAGGAGGGAAAGCAAAGCCATGTTCAAGAGGCAAGTTACTGGAGTCAAGCCTAGATGAATGAGTCACATGCTCATTCATTCCTGGAAGTACCAGGTTCTGGTGCTGAACACAGCAGCATGGGAGAGACAAAAAAGTAATTGCTGCTAGGAATAGAGTTGTTATAGTACGAGTTTGCTTTACAGTTGAACTTCAGGCATATATAAAAGGGACACATTAATGCAGCTTTGCATTTATTATTTATTAAAGGTGTTATTTTAAAAGTGTACGTATCTGAATTTGACTTGATTTCAGCCACTTGCAATCAAGTGGATGACGATAAGCACCTTTCTAGAAATGTGTTAGTTTTTGCTACTTTTAAAGCTTATTTGAAGTCACAGAAATAAATATCCAGTCAGACTGTAGTCCAATAGGCACCATAGTTACTGTACATTTAGCAACCAACCTGGTCTGACATGCCCCATCTCTCCCATTGTAATACAGGTCTAAGAAGAGACAGTGGTTATTAGAGTTGTAGCTGTTACTTAACTATGCCAGCATAAAGCTCTGGGGAGGGAGAACAAGAAGCAGACAAAGGTATCTGCAGTTTTTAACAAGCATAACTGAGTAGGAAACCATAATACGTGGATACAGGACTATAAAGAGGTGAAAAGGTGGGAAACTCCAATTGGGCTTTAAGCATTGATCTGTTTTGGTTCTTTATTAGTAAACTCTGCAGTCTAATGGGAATTCTGCATGTAAACCAGACATTTACCTGTGTCTAGGAGTAGTTAATTCCTAAAAAGGAGCTTTAGTCTTTCTAGTGATTTTTTATATGGGTGAAAGAGATCAGATTATTATAAATTATTCTATGTAATGGATCAAATACATTTCTCTGCATATATTGTGTTAAACAGTATAGCTACATGTGATATGCTATAAATGCTCTGTCTTGAAGTCACATACATGAGCTTGGACACAGCACTTTTTTCTGTTCATGGTATGACAGCGCTAGTTTATATAATTTAGTTAATCATGATTTAGTAATGCGAACATGTACCTACTGAGTTACATGAAACGTGAATGTTTCTCGAATTAACCACCCCAATTTTCCGTATAAACAGAACATTAAAACTGTATAATTCCATAAATCTTACTGTTGACCACAGCTGGCAATGCATTGCATTGTAATTTGTCCTAATTTATTTTTTGACATCTGATGGCTCCCTGCAGTGCACAACTGCTGCATCACTTGGCAGATGTTGAATGACTTGCCTTGTCTTGTTCCCATAATGGTGTTTTTTCTAACTATCCGCACAATTCTGTTTAGCAGTAACAGACGTCTTAACAATTCCAGAGGTAGAACAGATAGGAGATAGGTAGGCTCACAAAGTAAACATTTCCTGAGAGAAACATAAAGATTGCCATTGCTAACTTCTCATTTTACAAATTCTAGTTGCCTGGCTGTTGTGCTGACACTCTGACTTTAATTCTTTCTGGCCCACTGATCTGGAACAAGAATGCACATGTAGCGCCCATCACCTTTGGTGAAGTGCTTACTATCTATTTAGTGATAGCCAGGGCTGTAGGCAGCCTGGTTGAATTTGTAGCAGCCAGCACATGGTTAATCCCAGGTGTCCAACCTTGTCTGTACCCCCTAGGGCGGAGTGAGACTCTGTCACATTATGGGACAGCCAATGGGTGACACTGTGATATGTGTACAGGGCAGCAGCCAGTTACTGGGCTTCTTGTAGCCAGTGATGTCTGCTGACAAAGGATATATATATTGGTGGGGGGCCATGTGCTCGCTCTCTTGCCTGGACCAGCCATGGACTGAGGTTGGGTCCTGTTCAGCCTGCCCCTAGGCTAGGCTGAGGCCTGGGGGTGGGAGTTGGCTAATACAGTACAATGGGTTGATAAGTGTACCAGTTAAAGTAAGTGGTCACTAGCTACTCAAACTTTTGTAGCACTTATAATTCGCCCCCTCTGAACAAGTGATGTTTTGACAAACACAATGCATTTATATGGTCAGATATTTGGAGGTTTACTATTTGCTATGGCAGTGTTTAGTCAAATACCCCCAGAAATCAGGACTCACTTCTAACCTAGGCCTAATATCTAAAACACATTATTCACTATAAGACTAAACAAAGATGTAGGTGAATAGTTTTGTTAAAAGTATTATATTATTTCACAAAGCAGTTATTGTGCTGTATGCTATGTATGTTTATGCAAAATGCAGTGCTTTCTGTTTATATTTATTTGTAGTTATTGATTGCTATAGGCTTTTCTGTGAGTATCTGATAGAATTCTACTACTTTTGTTAGGCCAGCCAGATCTTGTAAGATATTGCATCTGTTGTCCTCAAAGTAATCCCAGAGCTCTGAAAACCTGCACATATTTTGCTTCTGAGACAGTGCACAATTAGGAGCATTTATTAACAGCTCTCTCTCTCTACTTTTTTGTCTCATTACAGGGGAAAGACATGTACCTTATTTTGGAGAATGACATGCTAAATCTAGTAGACCCTATGGACCGCACACTCCTACATTCACAGCCAATTGTAAGCATCCGAGTATGGGGAGTGGGCCGTGATAATGGAAGGTGAGTAAACATGCATTTAAGACTTTTTAACTACGTGGTTGATATGTTGTATATGTGGTATTGTACATATGGTGTGTGCTAGTAAATTTGACTTTTAGCAAATCATCAGAGTGGTGTGGTTAGGTATCTATTAAAAAAAGTAATAGTCATTTTTTGGATACTTCAATGAGCTCCCAATTTCTCAAGGATTTAACTTTACCATTTTTATTTTGCTGGAAATAACCGATAATATGTTAGGTATGCATTACATTTTTGATCACTTTTGCAAAACTAATAAGGAAAGCTAAAACAGTTTTATGTTTATTTTGTTTCTTCTTTCCTTGTGTGCAGCAGAGATAGGTCATGAGAACATTAATATAATAAAACTTTCTTATCAGTGCTAGAGATGTCTATTGTCTAGGAAGCTACTTAGGAACAAACAGGGGTATAAACATTAATTTACAGGGTCACATTATGAAAATGTCTGGGGTATCTGGAACCTTGCATCAGTCGCCAGTGGCTTACGTTTTCCCACTAATAATAGTCCTTGTTACCATTAGTAGGAAGCAGCCAATATGGCCGTGCACATCTTTCCTGTTTCTCTGACACATTCAGCTGCTGAGAGTTAGCCCTGTATAATTGGTGTGGTATCCCAAGGTGTGAAACCCTCCGTGGAGGTCATTACTACATAGTGATGGTTCAGATATGGTTTCTTAAACTGGGAAAGTTTATAACTGTAATAACTGCAAATTACTTTATGGAAATGGAGGATCTGAAACATGTTACCGAACAATAAAGGTCTAGGTTGCCATTAAATGACAAATTCTGGTTTCAGTTATTTGATCTTTCTTCACCTGTATTCTCTACAGTAATGTTTCAAGGGAGTATCCTGTGGTGAGGCAGTTTTGTAATGCACCGTACCTAGAAATAATTTACAAGCGTAAGAACTGCTGTGTCTATCACTAGTTTTTTTTAGGACTTCTTCTGTGTTGGTCCCTAAAGGCCACTGCTTTTATCTCTGCTCATGCTGTCATTGTGAATAAAGTTCCTTTGATAGTAGCTATGGCACTGTCTATGGAATACCTTACATCATCTCTGTCAGAAGCAATGCAAATCTTTGATTTACCACTTGCTGTCCCTGTTCTTTCATTATGCTTCTGAGTGCTCTCCTTTCATGTTGCATAAGAGCACCTTTGCTTTAATAAGTTTCCCTAGCTTGATGAGGTTGATATAATGCATTGACTGAAATAGCCATAAATTGTTTATTTTATTTTAAAGGTTCAGTTAACAAAAAACTGGCATGGTCACCCATTGATTGAAGTATTTTGGTGCTTAAATCTCTGTACAAACTCCCCCTACATGTTACATTTACTGCAAGGGAACCCCACTTTTACAAAAGAGTTTTATTTAGTTTTAGATGACAATGACTGCAGCAGGCAGGCTTATGCACATGGCTTGGCAATGGTTGCAGTGAATGGAAGAGTTGGGAAATCCTGAAGAGGCAGCTTTCTGTTGGATATTTTAGATGACAAGGAGTCCACATTAACCATTTTGAATATAAATGTAAATGATAGTTGGACTTGACCTTTTATGTTAATTGTGGGTGGGCGTATGGTTCAAGTTTATGAAATTGGTGTAAAGGTGTAATTTATGGTTGTCATGATGTAATTTATAGGGTTAAGGAGGACTCCAGGCAAAATAAATAAATCTGCATTGTATGTAAACATTCAACCCCCATTGCAAATCAGGTTTATTGACAAAATTTACAGATTTTCAGCTGTTTGTATCAAACAAAGCATACAAAAGCAATAAAAAGAGGTCACCATAATGAATGTTTCATGTTGTTTACCCAAATTCAACTGAAAATGCAACTTTTAATTACTGAAATTATTCAACCTTATGGCAAGCATCTTTAGTACTTAATAGAGCACCCGTTTGCTGTTATAAACTGCTGCAAACAAGATGCATAGCCAGGCACCAGCTTCTGGCAGTGTTCCTAAGGAATCTTAGACCATTCCCCATGAACAATGGCCTCCAGTTCACTGATATTTTTGAGTTGGCATGCTGCATGTGCCTTTTTCAAATACCACCAGCGATTTCCCATAGGGTTCAAGTCAGGTGACTGGCCGCTGTAGAATCTTCCAGGACTTTTTCTGCAACCAATCCTTGGTGACATTTTTTTAATTCTTATTGACCTGGATATTGGGTATCCGTATTGTGGGAGCCCCTCCTCTTCTGCCAATCTTACGGCAGTGCAGTTTCCTTTACACTACACATTCAAGAAAGACTGGATGACAGAAGTGACATAATTAGCATTATCAGGGAGTGACAAATGATGCCTGCATTTGTGATCTGTGGTTAGGTGCGAGTCTGGCAAATACAGTACTTCTATTATGATGGACTGATGTAACAGGATGGGGATCTACTTACTGTTTGCCACATACTCATCTCTGCTCCTCTGGACTTGCTCACTACTCAGTCTGCAATTCTCATTCACACCAAAGTGTCAGAGCACCTCAGACACCGGCGAGGCATGCATGCTGTCCATGGTGGGCTTTTTGTGTGAGCTGCACTCCCCTTTAGATAGGCTGCACTCCCCTTTAGAACGGAAAAAAGATGAGGCCAGATTTGAAGTTACTTTGACTGAATGTGGAGAGGTCCAACTCCACCTTGTCTGATTCTGGTGTAAGGTGAGCACTTGTCTCCTCCAGTCCTGTGCATGTCTTCTTTGTACACTAGAGAACATGCAATTGAACTCAGACCCATCCGCCTGCTAATCTGCAAAGAAATACTAAAGTACTGGCTGGCGGCTTGTGTTGTCGTGAATGGAGGTGCTCGACTCCTGTGTGTGCCTGCTGCCAGAGACGAGCAACGTCATTCACCAGTGTCTCCCCTGAATAGGAGACAGGTGGGTCTGGGCTCTGTTGTCTGTTTTCCGATGTACAAGGAAGATGTCAGAGGGGTAAAGCAGAAGAGACAAAGTGCTGAAAGATTGGAGAGTTGTAGATGTCTGTCTCCATGTCCTCTCCCTTCTGTATGCTGTCACTCTTTCCTACTGAGCAGCATGGTCGGACATCAGTCAGGATCAGTTGCCGGATGACAGCCGGGTGATCGTGTCAGGGAGAGGGAGCCATGGCTTCGTTTAGCGGGGGTCGTGACGGCGCCCCCCCTCAGTCCTGCGCCCGGGGCAAGTGCCCCCCCGCCCCCCGGTTGTTACGCCACTGGTCAGGATGGGGGGTACTGTCGACCATGATAACTCAGCAACCATAGCATGGATCAGAATGGGACTAAGTACTCCATGCGCTTGGCCCCCTCGGGGATTCCACAAGGGTTTTTAATTATGGTGATACTTCTGCTTAAAAATACCATGTAGTTAAAGCATTAGAAATAATGATTTCACACTTCGGGGCCTTGAAAGCAACTTTGTATAAAACAGTGTAATTGTGCAGTCTGTCAAAATGTGTGGCACTGGATTAAAGCAACTCCAGCTTCAGAGAAGCTGTAGATTTCACATCTGTGGCATTCATACTTCATAGCTTGTGATGTATTTTCTGTGCACTGAGATGCTTGTCAGTGCAAGGCTAAGAATAAAAATGATACAGGAATGTGACTGTATGGAACATATTGGGATGGAACACTCACTGCAAATGGGATATAGCACAATGCTGACAATGGACTTCGCAAGATGAAGTATGTCATAGCAGACATTGTCAGAATGACTATGTGCTTGTCACTTGCTGATGAACAGAACCTTTTTTGTTCTGATTACCTAGGTAACTAGTTACAATGCAATTAAGCTGGGTTTGTGCTTTTCCGAAGCTGGAATTTAAGAAATACAGCAATAATTATAATGAAATATAAGTATTTAACATTAAACATTATTCATACTGTTTCTTTTACAAATAATGAAAGGACAGTTCAAGATTTACACCTAAGTACTACCAAAATCACATATATAGGGAAAGTCTTTTTTTCCTTGCAAAAAGGTACAAAGTGCTTGGCAGGGGCGTAACTAGAAATCACAGGGCCCCATAGAAAAATGTTGTATAGACTCTCTATGGTGGGCTCTACAGGGTCTCAGGTGGGCAGTCAAGCCCTCTTACCTGTCTGGCCGATCCTCTGTCCACCTCCTTCTCCTCCACAATCACTTGCAGGCCCTGCCTCCTCCGTCACTGGGCCCCACCTCCTCGATCGCCAGGCCCGCCTCCCCATCGCTAAGACCTGCCTCCTCAATCGATGGGCCCCGGCTCCTACATCGTTGCCGACAACTGGCCCAGCCACCTTCCCCGAAGCTGCTGGTTGTCATCGACTCAGCAGCTGTGAGGAGGTACGCTCCACTGCACTGTAAATGGCTGCATGTTTCTCCTCACAGCCGCCAGTGACAGCCAGCAGCCTGAAATGCCATAGCGAACCCATGTGGCCCGCACGGCATCAGGAGGATGTCCTGGCCGGGACCCCCTGTGCCTCAGGGCCCCATGGCAGTCGCCTGGGTCGCTATGGTGATTGTTACGCCACTGGCACTTGGATAAAGCAAGGAAAAAAATGTATATTCAGGTAAACTGGAACATGTAGTAAAACACTGGTTGATTTATAAGGTTGCATGCACCATGTTTCATAAACAACTTGTATAGATGTTATTTGTGTTCTAGATAACCTAACGGTTAACAATAAAACGTGTTTACCATCTGCATAATGGTTCCTACAGGCTGCAATGGTGGTGATTTTGCCACTTCTGAGTCCACCATAATTTTAAGTATGCGCTGGAGCATCATAATCTCTCTGCCTCTCCCTCCATCCACAGCAGCTGATAGACAGTGTAGTACTTCCGTATGTCATGCCTACTGAGTGCTTTTCAGAGCAAATCTCCTCCTAGGGTGATGTATCTATATCTCATGTTACCCACTGTAGCCTCTGCATGGGTTCCTTCCTCTTAGAATGCATCTTCTGAAATAGGAAGCGGGGCTGTCAGATCATACTTTCACAGCTTATTTTTATGACTTAAGATTTTTAATGCAGGTACC